TGGTGTGACATCTAAAAAATTCCTAGTATCTGTTTGTTGCAGGGGTTATAAAGTACAATATACATCTGTTGTAAAAAAAAAAAGAAACCAATGCAGTGGCAACTGATATCACAACGAAACTGGCTGAATATTTAGAAATCTATTTTTTTAGGTGTTGTGCCATTTGCCCTATGCAAAAACAATAAATAGAAAAAAATGATTTACAATTCCATAAAAATGATTACATAAAATTCATTAAAATGGGGGTTATTGTAACCCCCTCCTTTTTTTGCTATGAATTTTATGCAGTTAATAATTTGGAATTGTAAATTTTAATTAAATTACAAAAATGGTGTGAAACCTAGCAAAATCCTAGTATGTGTAGGTTGCTGGGACTTTAAAGTATAATGCACAGCTGTTGTAAAATAGAGTGAAAGCATAGTGATACCACAATGAAATTGGCTGTAAAAATGTTCAGTTGAAGTGTTAAAGTGATGTACACGTAACATATATCAAAATTCTTAGGGGTCTAATTTTTAGGTGTTGTACCATGTGCTGTAAACATTTAATCAACAAGTACAGTTGCAAGAAAAAGTATGTGAAACCCCTTGGGATTACGTGGAGTTTTGCATGAATTGGGCATAAAATGTGCTCTGAACGTCATCTAAGTCACAACAATAGAAGAACACAGTCTGCTGAACATAATACTACACAAACATTAGCTGTTGCCATGGTTTAATTGCACATAACATGTAAACATTCACAGTGCAGGGAGGAAAAAGTATGTGAGGCCCTAGCTTAATGACTTCTCCCAGAGCTAATTGAAGCCAGGAGTGAGCCAACCTTGACTCCAATCAGTGTGATGATATTGGATGTGTTGCTGACAGCTGTCCTGCCCTTAAAAAACACACACCTGTTTTGGGTTTACTGGTTTCAAGAAGCACTGTCTGATGTGAACCATGCCTTGCAGAAAAGAGCTCTCAGAAGACCTACGATCAAGAATTGTTGACTTGCATGAAGCTGGAAAGGGTTACAAAAGTATCTCCAAAAGCCTTGATGTTCATGTGTCCACGGTAAGACAGACTGCCTACAAATGGAGAAAGTTTAGCACTGTTGCTACTCTCCCTAGGCATGGTCGTCCTGTAAAAATGACTGCAAGAGCACAGCGCAGAATGCTGCATGAGGTAAAGAAGAATCCCAGAGTGTCAGCTAAAGACCTACAGAAATCTCTGGCACATGCTAACATTTTTGTTGACACATCTACAATAAGGAAAACATTAAACAAGAATGGAGTACATGGGAGGACACCACGGAGGAAGCCATTGCTGTCCAAAAAGAATATTGCAGCACGTTAGAAGTTTGCAAAAGAGCACCTGGATGTTCCACAGCACTACTGGCAAAATATACTGTGGACAGATGAAACCAAGATTGAGTTGTTTGGGAAGAACACACAACACTATGTGTGGAGAGAAAAAGGCACAGCACACCAACATCAAAACCTCATCCCCACTGTGAAACATGGCGGAGAGAGCATCATGGTTTGGGGCTGCTTTGCTGCCTCAGGGCCTGGACGGATTGTTGTCATTGATGGGAAAATGAATTCCAGAGTTTATCAAGACATTTTGCAGGAAAACGTACGACCATCTGTCCGCCAAGCTGAAGCAGAGGATGGGTGATGTAACAGGACAATGACCCAAAGCATACAAGTAATTCAACAAAACAATGGCTGCAACAGCACAGAATACGCCTTCTGGAATGGCCCAGTCAGAGTCCTGACCTCAACCCGATTGAAATGCTGTGGCATGACCTTAAGAGAGCGATTCACACCAGACATCCCAAGAATATTGCTACACTGAAACAGTTTTGTGAAGAGGAGTGGTCCAAAATGACTCCAGATCGTTGTGCGGGTCTGATCTGCAACTACAGGAAACGTTTGGTTGAGGTTATTGCTGCCAAAGGAGGGTCAACCAGTTATTAAGTCCAAAGGTTCACATACTTTTTCCTCCCTGCACTGTGAATGTTTACATGTTATGTGCAATTAAACCATGGCAACATCTAATGTTTGTGTAGTATTATGTTCAGCAGACTGTGTTCTTCTATTGTTGTGACTTAGATGACGTTCAGAGCACATTTTATGCCCAATTCATGCAAAACTCCACGTAATCCCAGGGGTTCACATACTTTTTCTTGCAACTGTATTTGTAAAGGATAAGGCACCATGTCTGTGTTTCTTTTTTGATGAGAAAAATCTTGAGGAGGTGTTTGAGCAGCAGAAGGAGTGAAGGATCCCAGTGGGGATAGTAGCATGAGAGGAAAGCTGCATTGGAGAAGTAATTGGGAGATATCCACCACTACTGTTATGGTGCAATATACGGTTTATAAGTTCCAATAGTGAACAAAAGCTGGTTAAGCCTTTAAATAGGCTTAGAAGGAGGTGAGTATATAAGTAAAGCTTTATAAGAAGTCACCGGGAATATTCAACTATTCACCTTGGATTTATTTGGGTGTAGTCACTTTCATCACCAGAGACCAGGGGCGGACTGACCATTTGGAAACTCGGGCATTGCCTGAGGGCCCGGGGTCAGTAGGGGGCCCCATGAGATGCCCCTGGTACCTTTTTCATAGGCTTTTTTGAGTTTGGGCAAGGACACAGGGGCCCCATGATCCCTTATTTCCCGGGGGCCCCATGAGTTGTCAGAGACTCATTTATTTATAATGTTTTTGAATATTGTTTTTGATCACATTATCACTTTGATTATCACTAGAAATTGTTATATTTTTGTACTAATATAATTTTGTTTTATGTATTTGTAAACACGCATAAAAATTTCAATTTTATCACTATTAATTAGGAGCGCGGCACGTATTTTGTTAACAATGTACAGCTACTGTAATGGCTGTAATGAGCAATGCTAGGGTGACTGATATTACAAAGAACCTGGCTGTAAGATCTTTCAATTTCATTGACTAAATATTTTGCGATCTAATTTTGAGGTGTCACACCATCTGCAATATAAATTTAAACAGTAGGTTGAAAAACATTTTTTTTTAACTTACAATTTCATAAAAACAGTTACAAAAAATAATAAAAAAGGCTTACTTCTCCTTTCTCTAAAAATTGTATGTAATTTTTTTTTTTTTTGAATTGTGAATAAAAATGTATTTTTCTATTTATTGTTTAAATTTGTATGGCAAACGGTGTGACACCTAAAAATCCCTATTCCAGTCTACTAGTCTAGTATTTTTGATACTAAGACGTCGTGTCTACATTGATATTATTAGGGACAAGTCTAACAATATAATCCCAGCTAATGGACAGACGTATTTTCCTGGATGAGTGAAAGTTTGAGGACTCTTGTAAACAATTGCTCTGCTGATGCTATTTCAGAGACAGGAAAGTCTTTCCATTTTGTCTGGATCATGTTTCAGGAAATTCTCTAATAATAACTATTTTATGTTTTCTTTAGACAGAACGAGGGGAGAGATAAAGGAATTCACAGGTTATGTCAGGTCTAAGTCTCTGGGCTATCCTGTTTTGGGTTAGTTTGGAGCTAGAAAAATAAAGCCGAAATTTGTGTAGAGGAGGAGGAAAAATAAAAACACAGGAAATCAATTTCTTGGAAGTGGCTCAGACCAGCTAGTCTGGGTATTCTTAATGTATTCAAGAGAAGAACCAAAAATGAGACTGCTTAGGTCTACTTTCAAACCTTTCTCCATGCTGTGGGATGCTAGCTTGGTCGCTACTCTGGTAGGTCTTGCTGGAGTGGACACCACCATGGAAGAGCAACTCCATATTAATGTCCATGGTTTCAGGATAGGATGCCCATCAAGCTCATACAGGTGTGATGGCCAGGTGCCTACAACGGACATCCCTCCCATTAAACGTAGTTTGTTTCCTTGAGAAAAGTTTACAGTAAACTGTATAATTTAAATTCCAGGGTGGACAACCATTCACTTGCAGATCATATGGCAGAAATTGTATTGGTTCTTAACCAATCTGGTATGCTTCAGCTATCTACTGGGGTGATGGTAGACCTGGATTCTCCCAATATGGAGGAAGAGATGATTACCGCCTTGAAAGGGATGAAAAAAGGGATGAGCTCCAGGCCCTGATGGGTTCTCTCCATTATACTATAGCATGTTTTCGGAGATTCTTGCTCCACACTTTGTTCGGGCTTACAGCTTGCTCCTGAAAGGTGAGACTCTGCCTCCCAATGCTCAGCAGGCACATATTACCCTGATCCACAAAGAAGTGAAAGATAATGTGCAAACTATCACCCAATCTCATAGCTAATTGTGGACCTCAAAATGTTTACGAAAATCTTGGCCAATTTGTTGTTGCCCCACATTTCGCACATGGCAAACAATAACACGAGGGTATTCAACCTAATTCACCTGGTCCAATCAAGGGAAATATCAACCATACTCAGGGGCGAACTGACCATTTGGAAACTCGGGCACTGCCTGAGGGCCGGGGTCAGTAGGGGGCCCCATGAGATGCCCCTGGTACCTTTTTCATAGGTATTTTTTTAGTTTGGGCAAGGACACAGGGGCCCCATGATCCCCTATTGCCTGGGGGCCCCATGAGTTGTCAGTCCTCCCCTGACTATACTGATCTCTGTGGACGAGGAGAAGACATTAGACCAGGTTGACTGGGAGTTCTTGAAGGACACCCTCCAAAATATTGGTCTTGGTCTGCATATGCGCAAATGGATCAATGAACTATATTCTTGTCAGTCTACGTCCGTCAAGGTTAATGGAGCAATCTTTCACTTCGAGCAATGGCACAAAACAGGAATGTCACCCCTAATATTTGTCCTTACTCTTGTTTCCTTGAGAAGATCGTAACTAAACTATACATTTTGAATGATTTGGGTCCCATTAGATGGCCCACATTTATAATCCACTGCTGTTCATTAGCATGCTTTGTAGCAGCAGGCGATTTGTCTTCTTTCTTTTATCAATCACTTTGAACAGAACATATATAATGAAATATTTTCACAGATTATTTTTTTACATACCAGATACATTTATGGGCACAATGTTGGTTTGTATGGAATTCGATTGGTGCCACCGTCTCTCTTCTGGTATAGGAAAAGGGAATGCTTTAACCCAGGCTACTTGCTTATCTGGAGTTGTAGGTAAGCTCAGGCATGTTTCTCTTGGTCTCACGCCTACAGTGGTACTTTCATCTTCACTCACCCTTCTGTTGCTTGGCTGTCAACAAAGAAAAACAGGTTTAAGGATAATAATACAAATAATAAAAGTTAATTTCAGAATTGTAGCCCCCAACTTGTTTCCTGAGCAATTCTCGATTGAAGAGTGTTTGATGCCAATATGAATGGTCCTGCTTTCATAAGGGATACAACCCCTACTGAACAACCATGAACGGGTAAAGTCTTTAAACTTCCTAAGAATCAATTAAATTAAAAAGTGTATATTAGTGTATTACAGACCTTCCAGCATTATGAAAAGATGTTCTATGAATATCAAAAGAGTTTAAAATATAAAACACAATATATGGCCAAGCGTTTGTAGACACTTGAACCATCACACCTAAATTAGCTTGTTGAACATCTATATACAACCTCTATTGTTCTGGGAAGACTTTCCACAAAATTGTGGAAGGTGTTGGTTGGAATTTTTGCGCATTCATCCAAAAGAACCTTTCTGAGATCAGGTAATCATATTGGAGGAGAAGACTTGGCTCACAAATCAGCGTTCCAATTCATACCAAAGGTGTTTTTAGACACCTGGCCATCACACTTATATTGGCTCCTTGGACATCAATGAAAAGCCTTCACTCTTGTGGGAAGACTTTCCACAAGATTTTGGAGAGTGTCTGTGGGAATGTGTGACCATTCAGCCAAAGGTCCCTTTGTGAGGTCAGGTACTGACCTTGGTTGAGAAGTCCTGGCTCACAAATGACATCCCAATTCATCTCAAAGGTGTTCATTAGGGTTGAGGTCAGGACTCTTGCGTTCTTCCACACCAAATTAATCAAACCATGTAAACCATGTCTTTATGGCCAAACAATTGTAGACATCTAACCATTACACCTATATGAGAACTAAATGTGTATATACAAGTTCCTCTTTTCTGAGAAGGCTTTCTACAAGATTTTGGAGAGTGTCTGTGGGAATGTGTGACCATTCAGCCAAAGGTGCCTTTGTGAGGTCAGGTACTGATGTTGGTTGAGAAGTCCTGGCTCAAATATGACATCCCAATTCATCTCAAAGGTGTTCATTAGGGTTGAGGTCAGGGCTCTGTGCAAGACACTTGTGTTCTTCCACACCAAATTGATCAAACCATGTCTTTATGGCCAAACAATTGTAGACATCTAACCATTACACCTATATGAGAATTGGACGTGTATATACAAGTTCCTCTTTTCTGAGAAGGCTTTCTACAAGATTTTGTAGCGTGTCTTTGGGAATTTCTGCTTTTTTTTTACCCAAAAGAGCATTTGTAGGGTCAGGAACTGATGTTGCGTGAGAAGACGTGACTCCAGTTCATCTCAAATGTGTTCAGTAGGGATGACATCAGAGCTCTGTGCAGGATACTTGAGTTCCTCCACACCAAACTGGTGAAACCATGTCTTTATGGAGCTGTGTACACAGGGGCACAATCATGGTGGAACAGAAAAGGGGCTTCACTAAACTGTTACCACAAGGTTGGAAATGTCTTTATAGGATGTAGTATTATCAGTCCACTTAACAAGAAACATCTGAACTCAATTCCTTAGCGTGGTGTCCACGTTTTTTGGCCATCTAGTGTATGCTATTGTTCAAACTGATTTTGTAATGCCATTAATAAAGTATTATATTTCAAGATATTGACAGTTCTGTATATGCTTCATGTGTGCAAGTTACGACTGTTGGAATAATTTTGGGTACTCACCAGGTAGACAAATTCTAGTCGTCTGAGGTTACTTTTTGTGGGAGTTTCTGGAGGAAGTGTTGCAGATTGTGACAAAGCCGAGTAACGGAAGGTCTGCCCTGTGACTTTAGTATCTAAATAGCGATCTTCAAATTCTTCTGCAAAACAGTCAGCTGTAAAGAGAAAGGGAGGTACAAATTTAAACCCCATGCTTTTGCCTTCCACAGGTTATCTTTGCGGTTCGTTTATAAATAAACTAAATACATAATAAAGCGTACGGTACGTAAAACCAAAAACATTTTCATTTTTGGAAGACCCTGCCAGGTTTTGCTGTCTGTATCGCAGAGACGAATCAGGGAGTTAGAAAAAATGTCTCCAAAGCAGGAGAAAGCCCCCTCTTTTGCAGCCCATACATTCTTCGTCCGAAATTCAAAAACGTTGTTCACTTGGTAATCCGATGGCGCCATCAATGATTTCAAAATCGTCCGACCAAGTCATAAAGTTCACCCCATATAACAGGCGAGACTTCTGTTCCTTCCATATTCTTTTTGGAAAAAAATGATCGTACCATCATTGAGTCGAAAATCGGTCGTTTTTCACAAATTTTCCAACATGCCTGATCACCGAAAAGGGGAGGAACCACGAAAATCAGCCGGTGCTATTGACCCCCACTAACAGAGCGAAAATAGGCCGATTATTCTTAGGTCCGGATGAAAAATCGGTCGAATTTTGACCCATGTATGGCCGGCATTAGAATATTCTCGTTGGAACAGATGTCCCCATTAGAAGATTGCTCCTCTATTCCAACTCTAAAATGTTGGATTTCCCACCTCTTTCAGTCCCCCGACAATGTTTACCAGAACACATAGGGAGGGTGAATTTCCTCAGAGGGGGCATAGAAATAAAAACCTAAAAGAGTAGAAACATGAAACTGGATTCAATATATCAGTAGGTGTAGTGTCTCTGGCAGGGGCCGACTGACAGCTCATGGGGCCCCCGGGCAATAGGGGATCATGGGGCCCCTGTGTCCTTGCCCAAACTCAAAAAAGCCTATGAAAAAGGTACCAGGGGCATCTCGTGGGGCCCCCTACTGACCCCGGGCCCTCGGGCAGTGCCCGAGTTTCCAAATGGTCAGTCCGCCCCTGATCTCCTGTAAAGCTTACCTCCACAAAAAATGGTGCACCCCTTGAAAGGAGTGCCCAAAGTTTAAGATCCACATGCACAACGTCTAATGAAAGCACCAAACAGAAGGTCTAGGACCCTGTGGCTCAACAATGCATCTCTTTGGTATACAATGAGTGGCTTTCAGACCTCAGCAGTCTGTTGTGGAAACATTGATTAGGGTAACAGCCAGGGGCGGACTGACAACTCATGGGGCCCCCGGGCAATAGGGGATCATGGGGCCCCTGTGTCTTTGCCCAAACTCAAAAAAGCCTATGAAAAAGGTACCAGGGGCATCTCATGGGGCCCCCTACTGACCCCGGGCCCAAATGGTCAGTCCGCCCCTGGTAACGGCATTGAGCTCTACTAGCCCCATGTCACATGTTTTCAGGTTTGTATTGTCTTCTGCAGCAAATCTGCAGCCAACACTCCTGGCCTTTTGAAGCCCCCTTTAGCTCATACGTTGACAAAGGCTGGTCTAGGAGTTCAAATTCTTTTAATTTTGGTTTTAAAGTGGTTGTAAATTTCAGGCATGAAATATGAACCAACAGGGGCGGACTGACAACTCATGGGGCCCCCGGGCAATAGGGGATCATGGGGCCCCTGTGTCCTTGCCCGCACTCAAAGCACACCCAAAAAAGCCTATAAAAAGGTACCAGGGGCATTTCATGGGGCCCTCTACTGACCCTGGGCCCCCGGGCAGTGCCCGAGTGCTTGAATGGTCAGTCCTCCCCTGTGAACGAAACATATCCTTCTATAATGTGCATTTGTTCCAATTAAGAGCACTAAGTGCCATTTCCGTCTGCTGCCTTGTTCCTCTGCTACCAGCAGGGGCGTATTTACCACAAGGCAAACAAGGCATTTGCCTAGGGCGACATATTTCAGGGGTGTTGTGCCGCCCCCTGGAAGAAGGGATGGAAGAAGGGACACATGCAGCATGGGGACCAGGTGGGATCCGAGAGAGGGCTGCGGGCTGCTTGATGGTGTATGCAGAGCTTGACTCTTGTTCCCGGGGATGTCCGGAGCTGTGATGGTGAGTGTCTTCTCTATTTTGTCGAGGTGGGGGCGTGGCCAGTGTATGGGGGGTGGTGGTAGTGGAAGGCTGTCTCGGGTGGGGTGTTGTTTGTCAATGTCAGGCTGTCTTCATGGGGGAGGGGGGGGGGGGGGTTGGTCGGTGTCAGGGTCTCTCCATGGGGGTGGGTAGCTGATTTTTGTGTTGCCTAGGGCAGCACGAAACCTAAATACACCATTGGCCAGTGTATAGGGGGGCGGTGGTAGTGGAAGACTCTCTCGGGTGGGGTCGGGGTGTTGTTGGTCGATGTCAGGCTCTCTTCATGGGGGAGGGGGTGTTGGTTGGTGTCAGGGTCTCTCCATGGGGGGGGGGGGAGACAAAGTTTGTGTTGCCTAGGGCAGCACAAAACCTAAATACACCAATGGCTACCAACATGAATAACTTCTGACAAGTTTTCCTAACACCAAGAGAAAAATGGTGACGGGAGGGACCTTCAGCAGATTGACAGCCTCAGCTCTGTTCCTGTGTGCTGTATGGAGGGGGGTGTGTCTCTTCCTTCCAATCAGGTCTCAGAGCACTCCTCACTGAGCTCTGCATTGTGAAATTTCAGCTTTTTTTCCTTGACAGCTCAGACAAGCTTTATAAATTCTGGATGTAGAGAAGAGAATACTGCAGATAAAAGAGGTACAAATCATGTAGGAGGATTTGTTTCATCTCTGTGTATCACTGGAGGACAGTTATCCAGTCTGCTGGATATACGTAAGGCAGGGGTTGCAAAACTACAAGTCCCATCATGCCGCTGCCTTTGGGATTCATGCTTGTAACTGTCAATCTTGCAATGTTTCATGGGACTTGTTTTTGACAACAGCAGGAGGGCCACCAGTTTGACACCCGTGATGTCAGGGTTTACAGCCACTTTAATTCATAACATAAAAAAAATTAAACAGCCAACTAAAAAAAATTAAACAGCCAACTCGTTTCAGGGACTCAAAGATCCCATCCTTCTTCAGAGCTAAAAATACATATATGGCTGTAAACATACTGTATACCAGTTTAATTCTGATTAAAGGTTATCAACTCATACTGTACAAATATATAGATATAAAAATCACTTACAACTGATAATAATATTAATAATAACAATAAGAATAACAAATGTTAATAATAATATTATTATTGTTATTATTATATTTATGAGTCCTATAGATTATATAAATGGAGCAGATCTCTAGGTGAGATACATATATAGATATAAAAATCATAAAGTTATCAAAGTTATGTCATACATACAAAATCACGTAAAAAAAAAATATTCACTTACAACTGATAATAATAACAATTATTATTATTATTATTATTAATTTTTTTTTGAGTCCTATAGATTATATAACAAAAGCAGATCTTTTGATGAGATAAATATGTAGATATAAAAATCATAAAGTTATTAAAGTTATGTCATACATACAAAAATCATGTAAAAAAAAAAATATTTACTTACAACTGATAATAATACAAACAATTATTATTATTATTAATTTTTTTTGAGTCCTATAGATTATATAACAGAAGCAGATCTTTTGGTGAGATAAATATATAGATATAAAAATCATAAAGTTATCAAAGTTATGTCATACATACAAAATCACGTAAAAAAAAAAATTCACTTACAACTGATAATAATAACAATTATTATTATTATTATTAATAATTTTTTTTGGAGTCCTATAGATTATATAACAAAAGCAGATCTTTTGATGAGATAAATATGTAGATATAAAAATTATAACGTTATCAAAGTTATGTCATACATAGAAATCACGTAAAAAAAAAAATATTCACTTACAACTGATAACAGTAATAATAATAATAATTATTATTATTATTTAGTACTATAGATTATATAACAGAAGCAGATCTTTTGATGAGATAAAAATATATACATATAAAAATCATAAAGTTATCAAAGTTATGTCATACATAGAAATCATGTAACAAAAATATTCACTTACAACTGATAAATACTAATTATTATTATTACTGTTATCATTATTATTTTTGAGTCCTATAAAATTATATAACAGAAGCAGATCTTTTGATGAGATAAAAATATATAGATATAAAAAATCATAAAGTTATCAAAGTTATGTCATACATACAAAATCACGTAAAAAAAATATTCACTTACAACTGATAATAATAAAAAATTATTATTATTATTATTTTTGAGTCCTATAGATTATATAACAGGAGCAGATCTTTTGATTAATAAATATATAGATATAAAAATCATAAAGTTATCAAAGTTATGTCATACATACAAAATCACGTAAAAAAAAATATTCACTTACAACTGATAATAATAATAAAAATTATTATTATTATTTTTGAGTCCTATAGATTATATAACAGAAGCAGATCTTTTGATGAGATAAATATATAGATATAAAAATTATAAAGTTATCAAAGTTAAAAAATACATACAAAATCACGTAAAAAAAAATATTCACTTACAACTGATAATAATAACAATTATTTATTATTATTATTATTATTATTTTTGAGTTTAGTATAATTATATTATATAACAGAAGCAGATCTTTTGATGAATATATATAGATATAAAAATCATAAAGTTATCAAATTATATATAATAAAAAAAAATAAAAAATTAAAATTAAATACTTACAACTGATAATAATAATATTATTATTATTATTATTTTTGAGTCCTATAGATTATATAACAGGATAATCTATTTGATTTGATAAATATATAGATATAAAAATCATAAAGTTATCAAATTAAATGTCATACATACAAAATCAAAAAAAAAAAAAATATTAACTTTAAATTAATAAATAATAACAATTATTATTATTATTATTTTAAAGTCCTATAGATTATATAACAGGAAAATATATCTTTTAATAAAATAAATATATAGATATAAAAATCATAAAGTTATCAAAGTTATAAAAATACATAGAAATCAAATAAAAA